AATATTTCCAACAGCCAGTTGCAGACTCTTATCAACAACTGTCTTCACTCTATACTGAAGATCCGATGGCCTGAAAGAGTCACCGACAAGAAAATATGGGAACAAACAAAACCAAAACCAATCGCCCAACAAATATGCAGGAGAAAGTGGATTGGATGGATTGGACACTTGCTGAGGAGGCCGCTGGGTGACATCGCGCGTCAGACCATTTCTCAAGTGGAACCTGAAAGAGAAGCGGCAAGTGAGAATTTTAAGGGTGACATGGAGGAGATCGTGTGAAGAGGAGTTGAAACAGTGTGGAATTACATGGATGCAGGTGAAAAACACAGTAGAAGACAGAAGCAAGTGGTGCTCTATGTTCCACTAGGAACCCAAGGGAACAATAATAATGATAATAAACTAACGTGCTTTGTGTTTTCCGACAGCTTTCTGAGACTTCATTCTTATGTGTCGCTTCATACAGTTTTACATGTAGTGTAGCTTCTAATTCAATCGACTACATTCAATATGTTCCATTGGTTGTTTATCTTATATCAAAGTCCATGTTTTAATTCATCGTATAAATTTGCCTTGGCTGATTTTTAAATATTCTGATATTCCTAAATAGAATCGCACATTTATTCTACAACTTCTGCAATCAATACAATTTCGACAATGACAACTTCATCAAACGAGGGTAAGTTTTAAGTTTTATGTTTGAATTTCATTGTAAACTTGAAGGTATATTCTGTCAAGTTTTATTTTCAGCCCTGATACTCTTAGTGTTTAGATGAGACTATTCATTATGATGACATACTTTCCAGGACCTTATTTTATGTTTCATGTCAACGTGGTTTTGTTGATGCACAACGACAGCAACAACTAAGTCTTATTCAAAAGTGATTGTATTTTCTGCAGTTCAATGATATAATGCCCTTTTTTAGAAACTCTTGTAAGGGTTATTTTGATACATGCGTGAATCACTGATTTGTTGCCTAATATTTCGAGATAGTTCTTCCTGAATCAGCCCCATAAAAATGCATGATTCTATATTCCCTAACTAAATAAAAGATTCTATTGAGAATCGGACACCCATAGACTATCTGGATAAGTGACTTTCCAGTTCAACTGACTCATTTTAAAGTAATCATAACCCTTGAATTCTCATATTAACGTGAAGAGCGCAGACGCACTGTGATGATAGTAGAATCCTGAAATAAGTGAATAACAAATCGATGAAGCTGTGAATAAACGCTTTCATGTGTAGTTTCAATTCTACATGTAGCCCTTCATCCTATTATTCCGCTTTCCATTCAAGAAGTAGAGCAGAGAACAGTTCGACCTATAAATTAAAATTAGTTATTCTTGCTACATTCGCGTTCTATTCACTTAGTTCCTATTTCGATTGTCTACAGCGGAATATGTCTTTTAATATAATGTTCCATTTCTTGCATTGTTCGTTGACTGGCACCTTGACTGGGAACCCTATGGAGTCATCAGGTAATTTGAAAATTACTGATTCTATATTCCCCAACTGAATAAAAGATTCCATTCAGAATTGGACACCCACTGAAATATAAGAGGAATGCAGTTAGTCAGTGGTGGTCAATGCAAAGTATATCTGAAGGGAATTTTACACAATGAAGGAGTCGTAACATGCTCACCATAGATATGGATGTTTTTGAAATCGAGATGTTGAAGCTATCATGAGAGAGAAGATAAGGCCGCCCTAAATTGTAACGCAACACTTATATTCGTCCCTCGAATTTTTAAGCGTCTTAAGTTTTTTCGACTTATGGGATGAATTAATCTGAAATATCTGTCTGGAGTTTTCGGATTTCAGGACTCCAGACTAGAATGCTTTCACATATTCGGACATTATTTATCTAACATATATATATATGCTAAGATTCTTCATATTGACTGATCAACTGGGTTTTACTTGAACATGGTTTGCGCCGCACTCAACACTGTAATGAATAATAATAATAATGTTTACTTTGGAACTGGCTATAATAGTTGTACAACTCTAGTCAAAATAATATTCTCAGAATGAATTGAGTTGATGAATAGTGTATCGAAATCGGATTTCGTCTGCAAGAACTGATGCGTCCTGTCAACCATGATGACTTATCAGAAATAGAATAATCACAATCACAAAAGATTGATTCATTTATTATTTGTCAACATCATGCTGGTACGTGCAATATCAATGTCGAGGAACACACACAGGTTTTAGTCTCTGAACAAGAATATGTCTCAATATATCTTCATATTTTAAATAGGTTCTGTGACACATACCTACTTACCATGTGTCAATCAACATTTCGCATAATGTTTCATTTTATGTCGAGATTAAACAATGTCATTCTGAAGATTCTATATGTGACTATGCATAAAATAATACGTAATTACATGTTACTAATCAACTCTCTAAACCATCTGACTGCAGAGGTGAACATCTGTGTTGAATAAGTTGACTTCGCTGTCCAAAAGATTATCTCGATAGTTTAGGAAAGGCCTACTGATATGGCGTAAATAAGAACAATAGTCATATCTAGTGATCTTTACTGTAATATGAAGAGTCTTCTGAACACTGAGCAGAACTTCAAGTACTTTCGGCTCAGGACTAGATAATGTGAAATCTTGTGTGATGCTCAAGAAATCGTCTGCAAGTATTCGAGATACTCAAATCACAATTGTCACCTGTGACCACAGTAAAATCGGAAAGTGCAGAGAACTCAATGTGGAGTGTGTATCACGTCATGTTGTTCTGTCTTCCGAACACTATGATTGATACATTTTCAGTAAGCTTGGCACAAGACTCTGTAATAGGGAATGTATAATGATGCTACAGAACTGGTCTTTAGGTATTTGAGGTACTCACATCATTTATTTCACTTTTGCCAACAGAGAACTGAATATGTAAAGTTTTTCACATCATGCTGTTCTCCTTTCCAGTTTTGAAACACAATAGTTCAGGGGTAAAAGTGTAGTAGCTTTGCCATTGCGTGCACGCTTCGGCATAATTAGTAAAATCGACATGAAAAATGAATAAACGGATTCTCTGTATCCAACCATTTGGATGGGCTGTATTCGTGAGTCACAAATTCAGTAGTCCATGTAAAGGACCTAATTCATAGGGGCGCATCACTATCTTTAAATGAGCTCTCATAATGTCGTCTTCTTTTCACTTGTTTAATTTATTATGAATCTTTTGAAAATGTCATCAGTCAAAAATGAAAACCAAACCACCTCCCATTTACCCCATCGGATGAACTATCTTCAACTCAAGAATCTGTGAATTCACGAAGTAACATAGAAGTATGTTTCCCATCGTTTTACTCATAACCAAATTATTCAAGCCTGTTTCTAATCAGTCTTCTGTTGAACGAAGGACCTGGGAGTTATTTGGAAGGTATTTTCATTATAGGTTACTTTATTCACTTTTTTACTTTCATCATAGTGTCAGTACAGATTACAATTGTGGGAAATCTGCGCTCTGTTACTTGTGTAAGTTATTGTACTAATCCTGTTAATGAAATGTTTTCAAGTTCGCAAATTTATGAATGGATGAAAGAAAATACTTGGTTTTCATGGACGTGTGGGTACGTATAACACTTACTTTTTATCCATGCATACCCATCTGTTTTATATCTCATAATCAGGTGTATAGAAAACAGTAGAGCGGAGAGAAAGACAGTGAATAAGCCGCTTAGATTCAAAATAGTGAGGTGGAATTCGGTTTCTGTTTGAGCCAGCTATCATAAACTTTAAACCATCATTCCATATGAGGTAGACATGAAATCGATATTGATGGCAGACTAAGTGGGAAAGAAAAGAAGCACTCTAATACCTATCAATTACATGTGCAACTTAGTGTTTCATCCAACCAAAGTGTCTCACAAATCAAATCTACAACTTGAGATGCTACTGTACCGCAGTTACAGTTGCCTTCCCTATAATATCTACTTGATAATTGCTGTAAGTGGAGTGCGTTTCGCCACTCATTTTATGAAAGTACAATTAACAATAATATTTCCTCTTGCATATCAGATTGTTCCATGTTCATATAAGGTTTCGCTGTTGCCTTCTTGTAACTCCACAAAATTACGCAATTTCTTTAAGTCATCGAAAGCAGAAATGAACCCATTGACTGAAAACGATTTCCTTAACGTTTTCACAGTAGAAGTGTGTTTAGTTTCCTGTAGTATCCTGCCTAAACCAGTGTCATTGCAGTTTGAGTCCAATCGATCATCTTTGGTATTGCAGAATGAATTGAAGATAGAAATTTAGAGGTGCATTCAACAACAAATAATTTATTTGAAACCTAAAGATAAGGAATTGTTTCTTCCTGCCGCCTAACACTTATTAACTGAGTTCTTTTCGATTGACTGGATAAATGCTTTCTGGGAAATAGAAAGAGATCCACCGGCTGGATACATCTTCCTAATTTATTTCATAAGAGGCATGTGTCAACTTTATGGTAATGTCAGTGTCAAGGAACTTAATCCTTAGTTCCTATTATTTCCGAAGATGCTCCGAATCGACAAGCACTCATCACAGATATCGACTTTAATTCCAAAACACAGTGAATGACAAGAGATTGTATTCTTCGGCAGTTAAAATCAATACTGTGTATTAAGTATACATAAAATTTTTATTCGTATTCTTTTTCACAATTGTCCACCAATGATGACTGAGGCCAATGAACAAACGTTCAATGTTCGTAATCACTGACAGTCAGAGTGAAACCAACGCCAGGGTGATTGTGTTCTGTAGTGCAACTATTGTTGTAGCTGCTATGGACATGCAGTATATAATGATTCAGTTTACGCACGCCTTCTTATTGTTTGCCCATAATCCCAAGGATGTTGTTTACCGCTTCCATCCAACTGACTTCATTCATCAACATCAGTTCAGAAGACTCATTCATTCTCAAGATCACTTTTTTGTTAATGGCTGCATTTCGTTTTTCTCTGTTCAATATTGCCTGCTTTTCTTTCTCCCCGCCCCCACAGACAATAATCGTTGCCTTTGCTGCAGCTGTTCCACTCATCGACTTACCATTCTGGTGGACATTTGTCACATGGATAATTACTGTGATTATTGCGGGAATTGTAGTAGCTGTCAGTGTCGTCAACAGATTCGATGTGCTCAAGAGTTTTGGGGAGTTCATACTTGTCACTTTCATTGTGGAATTGGCCTTTGTTATAATATTCTTCCCTTTCATATTCTTGCGAGAATTTGACGTAAGTAATCAGAAGAATTGTTAGTTGGTCCTAAATAAAAATTATCTGTCACTAATGAAATATCGTAAAATATGATATGTTAGTAAGCTAGGAAAAGAAGGTAGAATGGTCTTGAAGCTGGGAAAGAAACCGCATGTAAACCAGAAGGATCACTATTGGATCATTAAAGCATGTAGGAAAAATCTCTTTCTCTCTGGAATCAGGAGGCAGAAACGTCGCTGGCAATGAAATCTCCTTGACGTCAATCAACCTATCCATCTTTTTTCGACAGGATGGAAATAGACAACGTGGAATACTTACTGCATGGTTAAATCTGAAGGGACTGCGCTGTAGGGGAAGTCAGCCACCTACAGATTCGAATTGGAAGGTGGGAAATTCTCTAGTAGATTAAATTACTGCTTGGCACTTCTGGGAAGTTATCACAAATATACCTTGAACTTACACTTGTAATGACATCTCAGATCTTGTCCTGTGTGCCTGCTGTTACTTATTCGCGACCATTTTTAGAGCAAACAACATCGCTGTGTATCGCCTTTCCAATCCTAACTGACTATGACATTCTGATCCATGACCCCGCCTGTAGTTAAAACCATTCTGACTTGGTCAGGTAGATGGAATGACAACTCTGTTACGATTTCTCCAAGTAATGGTGATTAGCGTTCGTTGTGTTCATGCTCGAACGTCTTCATCACTTTTCCTATTTGACTTACTCATTCTAAGCCCAGTTAGACACGAGGCTAACAATAGCACACTCTCAGTCTCTGCGTTATTTTGAACTCACAAAATATATACTAAAACCTACGTGGAACTTCATGATTCCTTCGGTTTCCAGTTGACAATTTAGATGCAGAATGCGGATAACAGTGACTGGGATTAGCATGTCTGCACATCTGAAACATCCTGTGAACGATTATTACAATTTATATAATGTGTCATTACACTGATCTCAGTTAATAATTAACAGACGTGAAGGTTAAGTTAAAATAAATTACTCGACAAAACTCGCAATCATATTTTTGTGTGTTTTGAGCTTAATTATTGGTTTGATTCATCAATCTCTTGACAGATACACATAATACTGTGTGGATTCGCCATGATGTGGACAGTTATTTCGGTACGTTAATCAGTTGATCACTTGAAAAAGAGATTAGTATTTTCGCTAATGTAGCCCCGGTTGTTGTCAGTTAAAGGGCTCGAAAATTTACTGAATGAAGTAGATAGCTGAGGTAGTTTATGCACGTTTGATTTACGATACGAAGGTAATTCTCATCCCATGTATTTCATATGGGGGATACAAATGCTACAATTGTTGCGCCTAATGTTGCTCGGTATTGAAGCTTCATTTTACTTTTTTTGCACAGTCTATTCACTGCAAATAGAAAATGAATGTCGCTGTAAAGTGTTTCACTAATTATGAGTTCTCATGCTGGAACTTGAAGCTGGTACATACTGTTTACGAACACACAGAATCATTCATCGAGCTACTTTAAACAAATTTATTGTCAACAGCTTCAAGTAAATAAGTATCAAGAGTTGCATTTCGTTCTTTCATGCCGTCATTTTCTGCATAACATAAACAGACACATCAATATCCCACGGATATTGAACTTCACGTTTAAATATTAATGCATTTTTAGTCAAATAGCGCAAGTAGCTCCTTGCCTCAGGATAACTAACAAATTGGGAAGAATAATATGGCTTTCTGTATGTTCACTGACAAAATTAAACAAAACCGTTTATAAGAAGCTGAAAGAATTCCATGTCAATGATATGACTGCTTCGTTACTTATCTATCTAACTTAAGCCTTATGTGATTTCACCGTTGAATAAAACATTGATATCCCCCCAAGAAGACGCATTTTCCGTTCTCATATTTGACAATCACATATTCTAAATATGAGAGATATCACTACCTACCATTGTTGAGTTAAAATCGTCCTTTATATCTTTATAAATATCTTCATCAAAGGAAGCATCTTCTGCAATGATTGATTCCGTTCTGCGATATCTAGTGGTACAGAGTATATGGCAGGATGAAAAGAGCATTAGAAACAGAATCACGGATTTCTTGAGATATTCGTCATTAGAGCAGAATGAGTTATGAGAATGTTCACTTTTCTTATATGGAGCTGCAGAAAATTAAGTCACACGCTGAGACTTCATTATCTCCGCCAGATTCGTATACTTGAATGGTTTATTCTTATCACTTGCAATTGTTTACTTGGATATTCCACATTTTAAAAATATGTATTAATATTTGTGAATGACTGATGAAATAACATTAGGCCAGTAATAAGTTTTCGTGCCTTCCCCTTCTTATCCATATTAAGAATGGTATTATGAATTTTATCAGTTGGTTGATGCTTCATACTTTATCCAAATATACCAGGATGTTTATATATACTGGACACGAATACGCCTTAACACGATTGTCTTTCATTCACAGGAGATAGCTATCATTGTTCAAGCACTTCTTGGCGATAGACGATTCACATTTCAAGATAATCAACACGTACTCTGTGGACTGATAATTGCCATGTTAATTATTTGGCTACATTTGCTCGTTTCAACGGAGGTGGCCATCTTCATCGTATCAATAAATCGTACAGAGGAAACCGGTGGGCGTCGTCTATTTGGCACAAGTGCTGATAAATATTTGGAATTGTAGCAGATAATTTGCTGAGCGATTTTAATGTGTTTATTACTTTTAAAAATGCAATAAAATCGATAATATGTTTCTGATTCTCATTTAATTCAACACAAATATCAAATCTCACAATTCAGTAGCAGCTCCTCAACTTAATATTCGGTGCACACACTCAGTGAAGGAGAAACCAGCATGCACGAGACCTTGATGCAGGTATTTCTGACGGTTACCAGCAACCCATTAAAATTAGTTCAAAAGGTATTATGACAAGTATTGTCTCGCGTTGACTGATGCGTTGCATCTACCACATAGAACTAGACGCTGAATATTGGCCGACCAATCACGGAATGGCATCCTAATGCAGATAAGAAATCGCCAGTGCGATTTCATAATAAAACGGAACAAATCGGTGCAACTGTCTAATTCGTTACCGTCTCCTCAGCCAGGTGTAGCCTAACAAAATGAACAAGTGCACGTACGGAAAGATTTCAATATTCTAATAAGGGTTACAGGGTGTTACCATAAAAAAGACTTTAAAACGAATGAACAGTACTCACAAATTGCACATTTATACCTTACACACTGAATTTCCATTTAAAACAGAAAGTAAAGTATCGAGGATACAGTGTCAAGAGGGTTCTGTTATAAGGACAAGAGGCGGTGGATAAGATGCTAAGTGATTAACGGACTAGTTGAGTAACACTTTGGTCAGATCAACGCAAATTATACAAGCCAATAATAACCAACGCGTAAAAACCGAAAAAAATATTATGGCGAAAAAGGTGACATTCAAGCCAAGATCAATTAATTGAATAAAAGTGAGAGTAAAGACATTCAGTTGCTAGGACATGGGGGGACAGACAGCTGCCTCTTTCTCATAATGAATCGGGTTTCAGGAATCTGACAGTAATCGGTTCGGTAAATATGAAGAGAACTAGACAATTCTCTCCTTCAACAATTTTAAAGTATTTCACGTTGTCCACCTCGAGCACCTCCTCCGTAGTCTACAAAAAGCTTAGAAATAACATGTCCCCTTGAGTCCTTTATTTTATTGTAACAAATATCCCCAACAGAAAACTGCTCATTGGCTTAGAGAGGATTTGAAAACAATTTGCTCATAGTGGAAGATCCATTTCATTTCACCGTAAGGCTGAAACGCGCGAACATTTTCGACAAGTTCATGGTGTCATCTGATGTAACATCCATGTTCAGAAGGATTCCTCCTAATACAAATACCAATTTCATTTGCACGCATTCTGATCTTTTTTCTGTAAACGCCTTCTACTAGTGCGTTCCCTGGAGATGAACCAGTGTAAGGATGAAGCACAAAAAGAGACGTAGAGTGCAATGCAAAGCACATAGTGAATAAAGAAATAAAGAAGAGTGCTAGGAAAGACAAAATACAAGTTAATGACACTCTGCCAAATGGAGCATAATATGCTGCAGATAAGACAGACTTAAGAACATTGTATAAGATAACTAGGTGTCTGAAAGGGAAGCAATCAGCAAAAATGAGATCAATGAAAGAGAGCTAATAAAACCAATTTATCAAAAGAGACATTAGAACGATCATGTTTAGGAACTCATGTGTCAACCTACACCTTCGTCTGGAGACAGTGACAAGTCTGTAAGTGAACATCAGTCATCCAATAAATCTTCAAATCATATGAAGTAGCTGAGAACCGGGATAAAGATCAATAGTAGTTTGCGTTTATCCATAAACTCTGTAAACAGATCGTGAGACGCCAGGAAATTCTGACACATCACTAGTGCAGTATATTGTGAAATAGAGATACCCCTGACGTTAAGGAGGTTAAGTTGTTACACTAGGAATATTGGATAACCTAGCACTTTGCAGGGACTGGAATGGACTAACGCCTCTCTTCACTCCAAGCAAAGTACTCATTGATATCATCATAGAGACATGCAAAGTGCGAAATTTCGCTCGGAACATGGTTTATTCAGGAAGGGATAATTATGTGTGTACCAAACCGCAATATTACGCACCATCATAGAACAGAGTACGGACTGGTAGTCAACTCTGTGGCTCAACTTCAAATGCTTCGGAACACCCTTCAGAATTATCGAAAGTGAAGTAATTTGGACACAGCTTCAACGCTATGGACTGCTCCAGACCTCCATGGACCTCATTCAACAGCTGTAGGATATACCACATGCCAAGTGATTCACAACCGGCAAGTCAGCGAATCCTTTCAAGTGAATATGCGAATCAGACGAACCTGCCTCCTGTTACTGAGAATATTCATAATTCTGGTGGATCAGATCATGAAAGAGGACTTGTTGAGTGAGGAGGTAAGCCCAAGTCAGACATTGTGGATAATGTCCGTCTGTCAAGCAAAGTCGAAAATGTATAAGTGAAAATCAGTAAGTCAACAAAAGAGACAGTAAAGACAGGAGTTCAAGTGAGTGTGGATATGACAGAGGTAATGATGACACACAATAAACTGATAAAAGCAACAATTACTATCTAAAAGTGAATTATTAAGACCATCAGCCTTCATCATTTCAACTACAGATGACAACATGGATGAGTATGTTGATACCACTAAGCAACAGAAAACAAGATACAGAGTCGAACACTATTCCGAAATCATGCACGACATCAGGAGCAGTTAGCACACGAAACATGAACTAGGTTTCAAAACCCGTGTCAAATCACTCTTTCTATATCGTTCATGCTTTAAGCCCATCGCGAAGTCATTTCAAAGTGTTAGAACACATCCATCTATAAATAACTCCCCAGAAGAAACGTGAGACTGACACGACATATTTTGGTATGAAAGGACTGCAGCCGCATGTCAAATGCCAGACGGTCCAAGATATTAAAAGCATAACATATCGTTCGTAACCGTGAAGTCATTATTCACACATGCGTTAACTTGGCTGGACAATTTTTCAGTGATTTTCATTTGGAATGAATTTCAAGGATTTACGATTGTATAAAACAAACTGGATTTGTTTATTTGTTTACTACTTGAATACCCGAGGTTAGGATAGGATAGGATCATGAGCTTTTGTTGTCTAGACTGAGAAAGGACTCATTATTTATTTCATATTACGACAACCACGGCGCTTCTCAGACTATTCCAGTGTGTCTTATATTGTTAGGACAAGGAGGTATTACTGATACAGAAATTGTAGAACAGAGGGAAAGTGATTGAACTAAATGTAAATAGTACAGGTGAACAAATACGTGATTGTTGAGTTTATTAGAGAATTAGTCAGTAGAAATAAGGTATGGCGGCTACCCTTGAGGGTTCATGCTAGAATTCCTTGAAATCTTGTGTTATTACAATTCAAGGATGAAATAATGCCATGGAATCGAGCATGGTCTAATGGTGCAAGCCACTTTGAAAATAAGAGTCGACTTCAGTTAAGTGTGATGAGCTCTCTGATTGTTGAATTACCGAATGAATAATCCCTACCCAGTATTTGTGACCTTGACCTGTACACAATCTGACCTGTATTGTAATTATTCATCCTTCTTGCCTTCTATAAAAACTGTGTATGACAAGTACTGGTGTGTGTGATCAGAATGCCCGAAATGTGTTGCGCCAATACATTACACTTTTCAGATAAACTACGTCTTCTTATTGTGTTGTCGAAACATTGATGTGATTAAAACATTCACAATTTTTACTAATAAAATGACAGAACTCATTTGTAGTCTTTGATACTTCGCTTCCCTTGAAGATGATTCCCTCATGGCGTACTTTGTCCCAAGGAGTTAGTTATGTTGTTCGTTAAAAATCAAACCATTTTTTGCAGACACTTGAATCAAACATCAAAGTAGTGTAAAACAAAGGCGTTAAGATGAGAGGCAGAAGTCAATTATTTATAACATCCACTTGATAAATGTGGTATTCGAGTGTATGAAAATAAATGAAAAAATTATAATGAGAGCTTTAATCTGAATAATACGTCTATATATCATTCTGAGTTTTCAGTGTATATCTACTTACTACTCATATAGGCCTTTCCAGTAGAATAGTATACAACTGTATATCACTCGATGGAAAACTGCTGGCTTGGAAATATGAATAAAGAATCGACTGTTTTGTTCCTTCAAAACATGCGCAGGCATCTAATGAAAGCCATTTAATAATGATCTTGTACACAGGCTGTTCTTAAATGACATAACTAGACGGGTGTCGCGAAGTAGAATCAAGTAGTTGTGACGCATTATGGTCTCAGGAAGATTGCATGACCCAATGATTTAGACGAGCCGTTCATTGATGGGGTGAAATATGTTGATCTTTGACTAAACATAATACATGTTTATTGGAGTGGAAAGACTTCTGAATACGTACTCATTGTATTTGAAAAATATGGTTCCTACAGAAGAATAGAAATATACATTACACCGTTGAATGCGTATCCAGTCGTCCATTTAATTCTGGAATAGAGAGGTCGACTAATTAAGGTGAACTTGACATATTTTCTTGTGAATATTTGCAATGAATCGATCTTAGTTTCGATTTTAGAAGAATAGATATGCAGTTCAATATCCTCTTGTTTTATATGAAACATGAATTTAAAAGTAACTTGTATTGAAGTATCATGCGGCGTGAACTATTTCTAAGAGCTGAAGTGTGTAAACGCCACATATTGGGTTTCAATTGATCCCTGATTGAGAGATATTTCACTGAAATTTTGAAAATTTAGTAACGGTCATTGTGCGGCGAACCGACTGGAGAGATATCACGTCCATTATTTCCACCTCATCCAGATGAGACATCTCAAGCAGGTGTTAAGAAACCACATCCAGTCACCTTTTTCTTTTCACCTAACTCTGAAATATGTTTCTTGGTTTCGTTTGTGCCAAAAATGAACCAGAATTCGTCCAGCTGATTACTTACATCAGTCACATACATTGTTAAACCTTTCAATGTGGAAAAACCGTGATTATTTATACACATCTTACAACCGAAACAAGTAATTCAGCGAAGAGACTCTTTTCAACGAATTTATCATCAAGCTGTACAGTCGTATATATATA